ACAGTTGAAGAGGCCAGGGCCGTTGCAGTTTCACATGAATATAGTAGTGTTACACCTTTTGAAACTACACACATCAAACAAGAACACGTCCTAAGAAGGACTTCAGAGGCACCTGTGATAGAGGAGGCAATGGACAGACAACAAGACACTCAAACTGTTATTCCTCGACACATGAGCTCATCTGAAGACATTAAGGAAGAAATCAGGTCCAATTTAGTCCCAATTGAAAGTAAGACACCCATGTTGGCTCCCATTGAGAAGAAGACCCTAGAAAGACTGGAACAAATTGACAGCTTGGAGAGAACTGAGCCTGAAGTCATTTATGATCCAGAAAAAACAATCAGTCAATTTGAAACCTCTCTTCCAAAGAAAGACATGTCGCAGACCAAGAGACAAGATAAGTCAGCAAAGACTGTGGAAGAAATTCAGACTGTAGGATATTCAAAGAAAGACAAAAGAGACAAAAGTGTTTCTCTTGAACACAATAAAACTGAAACTAAAGTAGAAGTTAAACCTGAGATCGAAGAAAAAAAGACAAAGTTAGATAACATGTCTCAAGACAGGATATTAGTCCAAACAATTCAAGATGAAACTGTAAAGATAAAACCAAAAAGGCATAAACAAACAGAGATCCATGATTCTGTTAGAGCTCTGCAAGACAAACCCTCTAAAGCAGAAGAGATCCAGTCCAACATAGCTCAAGTTAAGGATGCATATGGAAGTGTTGCACCATTGGAAGTCTCAGATACTAAACAAGTTCAAAGAAAGTTTAGAGAAGCTCCTGCCATGGAGGTTGCAAGTGAAACATCTGATACTTTTAAACATAAGATAGCACAATCCAAATCCATGGAAGACATTGAAAAATCTCCAAAAACTGAAGTTAAAAGAAAAGTTTCAAGTAAACCAGAAGAAAAACTTCCAATAATGGACAAAACTACCACAGATTTTCCAACTGTCATTCCTCCTGTGATGGAGGAAATTAAAACAGACATAGCGATGGAACAAGATGCATCCAATGCACCAGATGAGTATGGAAACACTTCCACAAAGAAAGAAGCAACTAAAATTGAAATGGAAGATTTCCAGACTAATAGATCCCTTAAAGAGAAAGGCAAGCGGTCGGACAAACCTATGAAAACTCCCCTAAACGAAGTGCAGTCTAAGACAGTGGTAGTAAAAGATGAATATGGTAGTGTTACTCCATTCGTCCCAGAAGCAAACCAAGAACAAGTGGAAAACAGGTTTTCATTGGCTCCTGTGATGGAGGTTGCATCTGAGAGATGTCTGATAGTGACAGAAGGAGGCGTTAGATCAGACACTCTCCAAAGATATGTCACACCTGATGAGCTCATTAAAGACATTCGCTCAACAAAAGAGGATGTTTACAGGTCAGACGATGTTCCTGCAAAGTCAAAGGAGTCTTCCAAAGATATTACAGTACATCCAGTCTTTTCAAAAGTACACGTAGTTCAAGATCAGACAGAAAAGGCTTCTCCCATTAAAGAGGATTTACCTGATAAACAGAACATTGAAAGACAAGCTTTAACTGTATCCAAACCAGAAGAAGCATATCAACGCTCTTTGGTGGAGCAAGAAGCTTCAGAGAAACGTACAGTCAAGGGTAAAATCACTGCAGGTCTTCCAGTTGAAGAGATAAAAAACAGTCAAAAGCAGACAGACATAACCGACGCAGAGACTGAAAACATTAAGTCAAAGAAATCAAAATCCCTAAAAGAGAAAGCACTGAAGTTGGACAAACGTTCCTCTGAAGAAGTGCAGTCTAAGTCAGTTACAGTTAAAGGTGAATACGGTAGTATTACTCCACTTGAGGAAACAGAAACAAAACAAGCTGAGAGAATAATCTCCGTTGCTCCTGTGATGGAGGTCGCAGCTGAAAAACACCAGATAGTTAAAGATGGAGATGTGAAATCAGACACCCTGAAAATACTTATTGCACCTGACAAGCGTGTTAAAGACGTTGGATCCAGTAGAGAGGACGTTTATGAATCCAGTGAGGCTTCTCTTGAGTCCACCAAGGGAAGGGTGCAGGCTGAGAAACAAAAGATTACAGACAAAGATAAGAAAATGCTAACAGAACAGAAACAAACTCAGCAACAGGCAGAAGCGTCAGCTGCTACTCAACAAAAGACTCGAAAAACATTGAAAGGAGACCAAGAACGGTCTACAATGACAAGCATTCAGTCCAGAACAGACACCGTTAAAGACCTCTTCCTCAGGGTTGCTCCACATGTAGAAACAAAGCAGGACCAAATAGAAAGCAAAGCCTCAAGGACACCAGTCATGGATGTTGCTTATGAAAAACCATTGATTATGAAACAACATGAGTTTAAATTTGATACTCCGCAGAGGTTTATTACCCCTGACGATCTTGTTAAAGACATTACATCAAGTAAAACACAGTCAGTGGATGTTCCTTTAAAGAAAGACGAACACACAACAGGTACCAGCCTGACGTTAGGTCAAACTGAAGAGTTTAGAGCTCAAGAAAGAAAGTCCAAGGTTGGAACACTTGTTGACAAAACTACTAAAGTTACTCCCATACAAACAACCACCACTAAAGGATTACTGCGAGGCAAAGACACTTTAGACAGATATGCAAGAACTGGAGAAAGTGCTCAAACAGAATCTTTGAAAAAGGCTTTGAATAACTCTGATCCAAGAGAAGGAATTCAGCCAAAGGTGGTCATGGTTAAAGATAAGAGAGCTACAGTAAGTCCGCCTGAAGGAACAGAAATAAAGCACACACAGATTGAAAGAAAAGCCACAGTAACACCTGTGACGTCTAAAGAATCACTTATTGCAGAAGAATATACCAAAAGAGAAATTCTAAAGGACGTGCGAACAATGTCAGCCGAACAAGACTTTAAATATATAGAAGAAAGACCAAAATGTGTCACTTTTAGAGACCATGCTGCCAAACAACAACATCCAATGTCATCACATTTAGAGGAAGCACCTTTAGAAAGACACCTGAAGTTGGCTAAACCCAAAGAAATAAAGACAGAAGGAATGGTAGGAACAAACCAAATCCTCAAGGAACTTCCTGAAAAAGAAAAACTTGAGATTAGACAAGTACAAATAAAAGGAGATCAGTTACTTAAACCCACAAAAACGATTCTGGAAATGCATAAAACCCAAGAGATTTCTGGGAAACACCAACCAGCAACGACAGAGTCAAGAGCTGATATTGGCGTGATCAGAGAGCCCTCAGTAACAGATACAACCAAGCCAAAGACGGTTCAGAAAAAGACCACAGAATTCGGAGAAAGTGTCAACAGGAAGTCAGAGGTGGAGCAGTCTCTCAAAGCAGACGTCCGGTACCTCCCTCCTCAGGAAGTGTTGACTTTGAAACCAGAAGGAAAAGAACGAGTCACCCGTCAAGAGTCTTCCAGAGGTATAGAGGGAGATATGTTATGTGTCACCGAGCACGTGTTTTACTTTACCTGAGCACCACACACCCTTGTGCACCTCCTCCTTAAGGATCTATTAGATTCATACCTCTTTCGTCTTTCGACCATTTCAAGAAGACATCCATGTCACACCACCCATTTTGTGTCGTCACAAACTGTACTCCTGCTCATTGTGAAGAACCGTCCCACTGTCGCCTCAGACAGACTCTCTTTCTGATCACCTGATATCACCGCGCTTCCACCTTGGGTTTTTCTTCATTGCTTTGTCTGATTATGTTTGTCGTGTCCTTTATGTTGATTTTTACCTGAGATATTTTATTACAGAAACGAGGTGAGAACTCATTTCCGACCTTGTATGTTTCCATCCTGGACCTTGTTTGTTGTCGTTGTGTTGTTTGTCTTTGCATGCTGGTTCCGTGCTCACCCATCAGTCTTACTGACCTTCTGATTGTTGTATAATTTCATTTCAAAGTTCCTGTGAAGGGAATGGAGTCTCCACCACAAGTCACAGAAGCACTGGTAAAGCCAGCTGCTCCTCAAGAAGGTACCGACCTCTCTTTTAGATGTTTTAATGGTGTTTATGTCTCTGTGTTTCTGTCTATGTGAGGCATTCGTGAAAGAATGTCACTCTTGAGCGAACATGATCTTTGAATCTTTATCGAAAGGACAATGGAAAAAGGTTTTCTTCATAGAAATATGAACTTTGCCTTTTTATGGTTTCAAGCTCTTAGATCCAACATATATTTGTGTTTGTGGAGAGCTTTCTGTTGAATTCCCTTTTTACTTTGTACTTGAAGAGAGCAAACCGCAGGCGGCTGTCAAAGTTCAAGAAGCTGCCAAAAAGCCTGAAGTCACAGACAAGACCAAGAAGTTAGAGAAGAAAATAACTCCCCGGGAAGAAACAAAGCCAGGTATACAGATAATAACTTGTAAAGAGTTTGCACTAAGACCGTGTGCGTCTTCCAAAAAAAAAGTGTGTTTACTTTACAATCCCCTCTTTTATTAAGTGGCCAAGCCAAAGGCTGCCGCAAAGGCTGAAGAGCCAACCAGGAAGGGTGCAGAAGAAGAAAAACCAACCGTGGTAGAAAAGATATCTCCTGAAACAGGTAGAGGTATAGGAAGAACTGACCTTGAAACATCCTCTTTGTTTGAGATTTCCAGTCCTATCCATCTTTTACACTTCCATCTTCATCACTGGAAATGTTGACTGACCCCCACTTGTGTGTTTCCACCGTTAATCTTGGTCGGTACGGCCTTCTCATTGGGATGTTTGTCTTTTCATGTTGTGTGTCCTATTTGTTCATTCACCACAAATCTAACTGAAGCATGCCACAGCTGTCCTTGGACTCTTCATGTCATCTCTTGACTTATTCCCCATGTCATTCCACTAAATCACGTGACACTAGACCACTCTGCATACTCAGTCACATCTTTACCACAAATCCCATCAGCTATCATTTCTTTGAGTGCGTTTGGTAAGGTCTTCCGACTTTTAAATCAGTGAAACTGCTATTTATGACCGATGAAATGTTCTAACTAACAACTGTCTGAACTATAATCCTGTATTAGATCAAACCAAGGGACCCGTCCAAGCACCGGGAGGAGTCAAGAAAGGTAGGAGCACCGGTTACCGCTCACCTCACCTCAGTACACTCAGTACACAGTTACTAACGGCTAAAAAAAGACACAGCATGATACTTGTATAGCGCCACCAACTCAAAAACCACCCAACAGTTGGAGATGTTGGGACATCAAAAGATCTTTTTTTTTTAAAGAATACTAAATGCATACACACAATACATGTTTGTCTGTTGTGTCCTGTTGTCTTTTCTTGTAGTCGTCCTCTTCTTTGTCTTTTTGGTTACTGTTGGACTGTCATCTTTATTTATCAGTTTTATATATGGTGGTAAGTGTGTGTGTGTACAAATGGTGGTGTCATTCCTTACGTTTCATAAGTAATGTCAAACCTTTGCCACCTCAGAACCTCTCCTGCAGAAAAAAGGTAAAGTTCAGACTGAAGAGGAAGGGACGTTTGAGATTCCCACTTTGAGGAAGACCACCAGAGTCATGAAAGAAGTAGAAGAAGAGCAGGAGATAATCAAACTGAAGAAGATTCCTTCAGTTCAAGTGAAAGAGGCTGAGGAAGAGGAGAGACCTCAGAAGGTCACGAAGACCACAGTGTTTCAGGTGGAGGAGTTGGTGCACAGAGAGGAGGCGGTGGAGATGTCCATCGCCACCAGGAGACCCGCAGAGGAGAAGAAACCTCGAGACAAAGCAGAGGTGGTGAAGAAGCCTGAAGTTATGAAGCCTAAAGCAAAGGACCAGAAAGAAGCACCTGCAGAAGCCTGGAGCCGGCAGAAACCTGTTCCAAAAGATGAGAAACCACAAGATGAGATTTCTTTGAAGAAAACTCCCAAAGCACCAAAGGAAGAGGAACCGGCCCCGCCTACTGCAGCCTTAAAGAAGGTGAAAAAAGTGCCTTCAGATGAAGTGGCACCAGAAGTGATCAAATTAAAACCGTTTGAGAAACCTGTTAAAGCATCTGAGGAGCCGGAGAAAGACAAGAAAGAGAATCTAGACAGGGACTCTGCGTCTTTCCAGAAGCTAGACAGAGTCCCTAAAGAGGTGGAGACTAAAGAGCCTTCCAAGAAACCTGAGCAAGCTCCTCCAGAGGTCAAAGAGCCAGCAGCCAAGGTGCCAAAGCCAGTAGATAAAAAGAGAACTCCGGAGAAAGAGCCTGAGGAGATCAAAGCGCCCACTAAGGTTAAGAAAATCCCAACACAGGAACAAGAGGTGGAGAGCGTCAAGCTGAAGCCTTTCTCCAGGCCGTCCAAAGAGGCTGCAGAGCCTGAGAAGAAAGCAGCGGAGGAGAAGGAGAGGAAGCCGGCTGATGACCTGCAGCGCCGTCGCACCAGCCCACAGGAAAAACCTAAAGAACGAGAGCCTGAGGCTAAACCGATGAAACCTGAGATCGCAGAAACTCCAGAGAAGAAGCCTGCAAAGGTGGTGGAGGCAGCTCCAGCTGAGAAGAAAACGACTCCTGTTAAGAAAGCAGAAAAGGTTCCTGAGGAGCCCAAACCTCTGCAGCTGAAGAAGGGAGTCACACCGAAGCCAAAGGAGGACAAAGAAGAGGTGGCTCTGAAGCCTTTGGAGCAGCTCAAGAAGGTGGAGCTGAGAAAGACACCATCTCCTCAGGTGGAGAAGCTCAAAGACGCAGAGAAAGTCCCCGCTGAGAGGAGGCCCAGTATTGATAAACTTAAAAGGGTTCCTAAAGCAGTTTCACCAAAAGACTCTGTGGAAGCTGTGACTCTGAAGAAGGTCCCGAAGAAGCCGTCCCCCGAGGAGGCTGCAGAACCAGCGAAGCCCGGGAAAGGAAAGGTTCCCCTGGGGAAGGAGGTTTCTCCTGGAGCCGTGGAGATGAGGAAGATAGCCACCCAGCCTGAGGAGGAGGTGTATGAAGAGGAGGACGAGGAAGATGTGGAGCAGGAGGAAGATGAGGCCTGGAGCTTGGAGATGGTTCGCCGGGACAGTTACGACTGGGAGGGTGAAGGAGAGGAAGGTGCCCTGGAGGTGCCCGGGGTCTCCAGGAGAGGTGAGATGGTGGCGACTCTAACCCGTTGGGTGACGGCCGAGACAAACGCTGCCTTCATGCCCTGAATAATCGCTACCCATTCCCACCATCATGCCTCCATCCGAATCATTCCTCACATCTCAAACGTGACCCGACTCACACCATCTTTTTCTTGTGTTTGTGTTGAATATCAATCTGTTTGTCAAACTGTGTGTCCGTCATTTCCATCCGTCCAACACGTGTTCCCATAACATCTCCACCCTTCTGTTTTGTTGTTCCATCTCTTCATGATGTTAAAGTCATTCATGTGCCTTTCGTTTCCATTGTTTCATTATTCAACCATCACTATGACATCATATTCCCCAATCCATTCGAGTGGACATTACACATCTCACAGCTCTGGCATGTTCACGAAGACACCTGATGGCGTTGTGTGCCGAAAACTCATTTGTGTTTTTCATGAACAGAGGGATCACCAGCAGCAGAAGCAGCAGGTGGAGGTAGAGGTAGAGGACTGAAACGTAAGTCTCTTTTCTTCATATCTTGTAATGAAGTGATTCCAAAGAGTCCTTCATGAAATGACCGTTCATTTGTATTTCAGCCAAGCAGACCCCGTCCCCCGGAGAAGGTAGGGGCCGTGGTCTGAGGCCCGGAGGAAAGGGTCCCACGCCACCAGACGAACCGTTCGCAGGGTTCAAGCTCAAAGCCGTCCCTCTGAAGTTCATCAAGAAGCTTCAGGACATCTTGTTGAAGGAAGCCGAGTCCATCGGATCGGCTGCGGTGTTCGAGTGCGAGGTTTCGCCCTCCACCGCCATCACTACCTGGATGAAAGACGACTGTAACCTTCGCGAGAGCCCCAAGCACAAGTTCACCTCTGACGGCAAAGACCGCAAGCTGAACATCATTGATGTCCAGCTCTCTGACAACGGGGAGTACACGTGTATAGCCAAGAATGCCGGCAAGGAGATATCATGCAAAGCCAAGCTCATTGTTGAAGGTATTCATATTTAGTTCTGTCCTGAATATCTTTCTCCTAATCATTATCCAAGCATTCGCCACTCATTGCCTTTTTATCTCGACACAGAGCTTCCATTGAAATGGATCAAGGAGCTGGAGGAGGAGACCTCGGCTATGAAGGGTCAGCCTCTGTACATGACCTGTGAGTTGAACAAAGAGAAGGATGCGATATGGAAGAGGAACGGTGAGGTCCTGAAGAAACAGGCCGGGAAGATTCAGATCAACGTCATCGGCATGCAGCACGCTCTGACCATCCAGAACTCCAATGAGGCCGACACCGGGCTCATCAGCTGTGAGGTGTCCGGCCAGGAGGATGTCAAGACCTCAACGAATGTCAAAATCATTGGTAAGCAGTGAACATGTCCCTAAAGACGCATCCATCGATCCAGGTGTTTTATAAGTAGTGGATACAGGTAGAGATCTGGTATTGTCCATTCTTATTTAAAAATCTAATCACCATAAAACCAAATCACTAATTGTCCTGCAGCTACATTCAGATATCTGCAGATTTAGAGAAGCAGCTTTGAATTCTCCCCCTAAACCTAATTTCAAATTGCAAACATTCTTGAAACCGCCACAAAGTTAGATACACTAATTCAGACTAAGCCTGTTTTGGCCCTTCTGCTTTATCTTATAATACATCTTCTTAATATTTTCTATATTAATTACGTCTTGTCTTTATAATGCAAACCGTTGTTTAACTCCAACAGAAATCATCAGGGATTGGATTGTGAAACCGCTGAGAGACCAGCATGTGAAACCGAAAGCCAACGCTACGTTTAAGTGCGAGCTCTTCAAGGAATCCCCCAACTGGAAGTGGCTCAAAGGAGAGGAGGAGATCACTCCTTCAGACAAGATTGAGATCAAGAAGGAAGGAAAGGAGCTGACGCTCACCATCAAGAACTGTCAGCCTGAGGATGTGGCGCAGTATTGCATGGAGGTGGAAGGACGCCTTTACACCGCCAATCTCACTCTAGGAGGTTTTTCTATCCACTCACTTACCTTCCTTTTTGGTTTAGGGATGTCACTAGAAACAGTTCTCGGGTAACAAGTGGGAAGCAAAGCTCAACTCAAGACTAACAGGATCATGTCATCTCTTGGTCACATTTAAGTTAAAAGCTACAGGTAGTTAGCTAACGTTAGCTGTTAGCTGTTAGCAGCCTGTGGAGCCAAGCTCCTTTGAGTCGCATTGTGGTGCATACAAGCTCTTTAGACAAATTGAAGTATTAGGTAAATCATAACGCTATCATGATGTGTTTAATGTAGACTTGTGTGAGAAACATAAATAAATCCAGTTGTCTGAAGGAGGTGTAATTAGGAAATGATGACCTGTTTGATTTCCAAACAAAACCCAGTATGCTAATGGTAACAAAGAAGGGTAAGATTAGTTATAGGTATCAAGAACTGGGTATTGACGACTGACTTTCTGGTGTTGTGACATCCCTAAGTGCCTCGTTTACTTTTCTTTAGCCTGGTCCATATTTCTGAATACTAACACAACATCTCTCTCAGAGCGCGAGGCTGAGATCCTGAAACCTCTGGCCAGCGTTGAGGTGGTTGAGAAGCAGGACGCCGTGTTTGAGACGGAGATCTCTGAGGACGATGTTCCCGGTGAATGGAAGCTCAAAGGAGAGGTTCTGACCAGATCCCCGGTACGGTTTCATGAACTTGTTTCCGTTAAATAGTCACACGATTCTTACTGCAGGTATTTCTTTTTTTGCATGGTCATGTTCATTACTTTATATTGTGATACATTCACCAGACGTGCGAAATCCACATGGAGCGCGGGGTGCGTAAGCTCACTCTGAAGAACTGCCAGTTGGATCATGCCGGAGAGGTTTCGTACCAGGCTCTGAACGCCATGACCAGCGCGATGCTCAACGTCAAAGGTAAGACCTGCGCCTGGTATCCAGGACCGGACGTACAATGTTTTCGGATATTAGGTGTAAAAATAAAGGCGTAAGGTCCGTTGGCAATACAATAAAGCTTAAAGGCACTTGAGAGCGGACCTTAGACCTTTATTTCATAAGGTTGATGAATGAAATGCATTTTGTGTGCCACTCTTTGAGACTTGCAGCCCGGGAAGACCAGGAGACATTTGGATGAGAATCCCAACAATTTCCAGTGTGTTTGTTTGTTTGTGTGTTTTCTATTTGTTGTCTGTTCAATGGAAACCTGTCTGTTTATATGTCCGATCCGACATGTGTCTAAATGTGTGTTTGTGCTGCCACTTTGCAGGATATTCGTACTGTCTGTGGTTAAATGTTGTTTGTTAACTCTACGAACAGTGGCCAGTTTATTTGTTAAACCACCAGGCATGATTCAGCAAATATCATAGAGTTCAGTAGGCACAGGGTTGAGTCCAAACAGGTAAGTGACTGGTGAAGAAAGAACAATGAGTCTCCCAGTAAACTGACGTCCTAGTTGGTGGTGGACCGGTCCTGCCGAAAGACTAAACCTTTGGAGGAATCATCACATAGAGTTCTTCACCGAACCTTACCAAGCAGACTTTATTCATGTTATGTGTTACGACTGGCCACTGTGTGTAAACCGTTGTTGTTGTTTTGTTGTGTTGTTGATGTTCTGTGTCACCTTTTTAAACCCAGAAATCGAGATGGACTTTGTTGTCCCGCTGAAGGATGTTTCTGTGCCTGAAAAGAAACAGGCAAAGTTTGAATGCACCATCACGAAGGATGTCTCTAAGGTCATGTGGTATAGAGGGGATGATGTCATCACCCCGGACCAAAAGTATGACATCATCGATGATGGAAAGAAGCATATGCTCATTATAAACTGCTGCGAGTTCGATGACGAGGACGCGTATACGATCGCTGTTCTGGGCAAAATGTCCACAGCTAGACTCACGGTGGATGGTAAGTGCTGGAGTGCCATTATCTAGCAGAGCCGTTATCATTAACCAGACAGCACTCATTGAGTTGGTTGCCTCCTCTTTCCACCCAATGCAACTACAGGTATCAGGCTCAAATTGATCTCGCCGCTAAAGGACCAAACGGTGAAGGAAGGCACGACGGCTCGCTTTGAGCTGGAGCTCTCTCATGAGAACATCCCCGTCACATGGTACAAAAACGATGTCAAAATCCACCCGAGCAGAACCGTGCTCACTCACGTGGACGGGAAGAAACACGTGTTAGAAATTAAGGAAGTGACTCTCGATGATACTTGTCAAATTAAGGCTGAGGCCAAAGGGATTCCCTCCATGGCCAACCTGACGGTCATAGGTAAACCCATGTGTGTCCTCCTCCTGTTCGTCTTCTTCTCTCCGCAGATGTGTGTCCATGTTTGTGTGTCATTTTCCTGTCTCTACATGTTGTGTTTTTGTGTTTCTCATCTTGTTTGTTTACCTCGGACTGTGAATTTGTTTGTTATTCATGTTTGTTTCTGTCTGGAGAGTCACACAAACCTTTCCCCTTCCAGAGGGCGATGCGTACTTCACGGTGAAGCTGCAGGACTATACTGCGGTGGAGAAAGACGAGGTGGCCCTAGATTGCGAGCTCAGCAAAGACGTGGAGGTCATGTGGTACCACAACGAGGCCGAGGTCAAACCCTCTAAGATGGTGGCCATTAAGGCCGAGGGCAAACGCAGAACCCTTGTCATCAAGAGAGTTGCAGACAAAGACAAAGGACAGTACGTGTGTGATTGTGGGACAGATAAGACGATGGCCACGCTTCACATCGAAGGTAATTTCATGGTGCTCATCCTTCACCTCATAACCTCAAGCTCCATCGCACAAGTCTCTTTCTGGCTCTTCACCGCTGCCATCACCTTGCACTTCTGAGAGAGTTGGAAACGCACTACAAGAGTTTTCAGAGAAAGCCTCTCGTGGGTTTATTCAACTCTGATTATAAACTCCTGTGGTGTTCTTCCATCTTTATGTATTGTTTGTTTGTCACTGTTCTATTTCTTCAGAGGGTCTTCCCCAGAACCACCCCTCTCTGAAGAAAACCTTTAACGTGCACCTCAATGATCTAACAGGTCCATAAAGAACCAAATGGCTCCTTTTGGGCAGGGATCTATTTCCTTGCTTTTGTAACCGTTCACTTGCTGGATCATCGCCTGCCGTTGCCCAGCCATTGGAGCCCTTTGGTTGTTTCTGGTCCTGGAAAAAGGGTGCACTCTAAAGGAGCCTGGTGTGCGTCTACGTCTCGTGTTTTAATGTGAAGTTTGTCTGAGTATTTAAACATCTTTGTCCCCTCTCTTGAACGCCAGCGCGCCACATCAAGGTGGTGCGGCCGGTGTACGGAGTTGAGGTGTTTGACGGAGAAACCGCTCGGTTTGAAGTGGAGCTCAGTGAGGACGATGTCCATGGACAATGGAAACTAAACGGAGAAGTCCTCAGTCCATCCGCCGTACGTCTCATCACAATAATTATCTTACATGTGGTTCCCTTCACTTTCATTCTGTTTAAAACCACTTGTGTTTTTCACAAATGAAAGTGAATCGAGCACCCTGCTCACTTTAAAGTCCTCATGTTTTCTTTTACTGAAATGCTGACGTCTGTCGGTCGTCTGCAGGATGTAGAAATCGTGGAGGACGGTGCCAAACACACTTTGGTGTTGTACAACTGCAAAGTGCCTCAAACAGGCGAGCTGGTGTTTATCGCCGCCAACGCCAAATGCTCTGCTAACCTGAAAGTGAAGGGTGAGCGCTCACTTCCCTTCCTTCTTCTTGTTCAAACTCTAAACAAGGAAAAGCCCGGGTTCAGTCTCACGGCCCTTCTACTGTCTAACAATGTGGATTCATGACATGTAATAGTGATTTAATCTATAAATGCTATTGCATCCCACCCCCTGACCCACGTTGTCTCTCCTGGCCCGTCCGTTTATGTTATCTGTATCTGTGTGAATCTGCAGAGCCGACGGTCTCGTTCATTACTCCGCTGGCTGACGTCCACGCGTACGAAAAGGACGAGGCCAAGTTTGAGCTGGAAATTTCCAGAGAGCCCAAAAGCTTCCGCTGGCTGAAGGGATCTCAGGAGTTGACAAACGACGATAAGTTTGAGATCCAGGTGGAGGGGAAGAGACACACTCTTATTGTGAAATCTGCCAGATATGAAGACGAAGCCAAGTACATGTTTGAGGCTGAAGACAAGCGGACGTCTGGGAAGTTGATTATCAAAGGTGACTACGAGTGAAATCAGAGGGGACAGTGTGTTTCAGGCCGTCAGCATTATGTGAATCTGTCTGTGTTGCTGTCTTTAGTTTGAAACCCCTGTGTGTAACCTTTCGTCATCAGGTATTCGCCTCGAATTTATCAAGCCCATTAAAGATGTGACCGTGAAGGAGCGTGAGACGGCAGAGTTCAGCGTGGAGCTCTCTCACGATAAGATCCCGGTGGTCTGGTATAAAAACGACGTCCGGCTGCACCCCAGCAAGGTGGTGCACATGTCGGAGGACGGGAAGGTCTTCACGCTGGCCTTCAAGGAGGTCTCCATCGACGACACCTCCATGATCAAAGTGGAGGCCATGAGCAAGACCTCAGAGGCCATGCTCACCGTGCTCGGTCAGTACCACGCTGACGGTGAAACAAACAGAAATGTAACAAAAGGATCCGTTTGCTTAACACTCAGAATATAACACGCTACACTCACCGGTGATAGAAATGATAAATTTGATTGTTTAACGAGTCTTAAAGACACAGATTACTCTTCGCTGAAGCCTTCTACAGGTCTCCAGATGGCTCCAGACTTTTCCGGCTCATTTCCAAACCGTTGTGCTTTAACTGTGTGTTGCTGACGTGTGTTCTTGCAGAGGGCGACCTGTACTTCACGGTGAAGCTGCAGAACTACACCGCCGTCGAGAAAGACGAGGTGGTGTTGTCCTGCGAGCTGAGCAAGGCGGCCGGCGAGGTCCGCTGGTACAAAGACGGTAACGAAATATTTGCCTCCAAGAACGTCCAGATGCCAGCGGACGGAAAGAGGCGCATGCTGGTGATCAAGAAGGCAGCGAGGAGCAGCATCGGGTCGTACACCTGCGACTGTGGCATCGACAAAACCACGGCCGACCTGAACATCGAAGGTAAAACCTGCGGAGACCCTGAACACCTGCAGGACTGCAGAACAAGCCCCGCCCACCACCATGCAGCGAGGCCACGCCCCCTCCATCCTCCATCTTTGTTTGTCCTCACAACCCCGCCCATTATAACTCTATATTATAACTGTATTCAAACACTTTATGAACTCTGAAGACAAAACGGAGACATGGAAATGTGAATGTCTCTCCCCTCAGAGGCACATACAAGTGTTCATATACAGCCTGTAATATTACAATCACTGTATGAATTTACTTCTGACTCATGATGATAGATCTGAATATATTTCATTTTTAAACAATAGAATCATTTTACTATTTCATAAAGCACAGGATAACGAGCTTTCCTGATAAACCCTTGGTATGAATATGATAAATGACACGCCCTTTATATTCATTATTCATGTTTGATTTGAAATGTTTGAATAATAATTTACTTTGTGAAATCTTAAAAAATGTTTCCATCCTAAATCAGTTCAGTACGACTCACTGTTAAACTATTCTTCTATCATCTCTATCTGCCTATGTCTGTACATCATGAAACTGGTTCCTCCTCCTCCTCCTCCTCCTCCTCCTCCTCTTCCTCCTCCTTGACGTCTGTTTCCCCCCCCTGCAGAGCGCGACATTAAGGTGGTCCGCCCGCTGTACAGCGTGGAGGTCACTGAGACCGAGACCGCCAAGTTTGAGACGGAGATCTCCGAGGAGGACCTGCACGCCACCTGGAAGCTGAAGGGGGAGCAGCTGCACCCCTCACCTGTAAGATCACTCTTCAAAAGATGTATATTCATTACAGCAGGAACCGCCCGATCACATGTCCTGGTACATTTAGAAATGTTGCCCGTCTCCGGTCAGACTGAACACAGAGACTTGTATTGCAATGTACTTCTGGAGAATGTTTGAATGGGTTAGAATATTCTGGAGAGGTTGCTTTCTGCCTCGGAGTGGAGAGTTACCTGTCCCTGTTAGAACAGACACGTCTTAGTAGAAGTGGAAGGAATGATCAGTTCATCTGACATGAGCACAAAGGGTAAAGGAACTCTCTCAGACTTCTCTCAACGTTTCTGTTTAAAGTCTAAAATGCGAAATCTGAATGTCTTTGTCTCAGGATGTGGAGATTAAGGAAGAGGGAGCGCGACACATCCTGGTCATCTTCAACTGCAAGATGGACATGGCAGGAAGCATCGACTTCTCCGCAGCCAACGCCAAGTCCTCCGCCCAGCTCAGGGTCAAAGGTGACAGGAACAACTCGGCTTCACATTTACACACTTTTTAACATATTCTAGTTTTCATGCCTGAACGCACATTTTGTTAGAGAAACACACATCATCACACGCATCCTGATTGGTTGGCTAACGTCGTGGAAAAGGCGTCACATTTTGAAGTTCGCCTAATGATGATTTCTGGGTCAAATTTAACTTTGTGTTCATTTAAACAAAAATAAGCCACATAAACGAGGAGGTATAGTGACACAAATATGAGTTCAAATGAGGCCAAAATGAAAGAAAGATACGTTAACTGTGTTTATAATGGTACAGGATGGGCCTCACATGAATGAGATACCTAGTTTGAGGTTGTTATGCTAAGCTAAGCTAGTAGTAGCTTCATATTTGTTGATCTGAAAATAGAACTCTCTGCAGCCAGTTCCATTATCCTAGAAACTGATATTGCTTTAATCTGGTTTGAATGGACAGCGTTATTTTCATGGGGACACACAGACCCGTATGTCCCCTGGACTCTGACACAGTTTCATGCTGGCTTATGAAATGTGGGAACAAGTCGAGCCGTTTCTTTCCTCTGTCATTAAAGAGTAATTGCATGTTAATTGTAATTGAAAGCAGGATTTCAAAACATTTAAAGGTGCATTTCCCCGTTCAATGGAACAGATCTGCTCCTGCAGGACATCAGGAGAGACGTCCAGAGCTGCTCACTCCATCTAGTCTGACTCAGATACTGACAGAGAGCCAGCTAAAGCTCAAAGTGAAGTGACAGATGTTTCCCTGACTCAAACAAAACATGAAGGACTTAGAATAAAGTAATCATTACAATCTGCGACCCAGTGTAGCGCTGTGACTCCCCGAAGGCGGGGTTTAGGAAGAGCTTGTTTTCACAGTGTGTGTTACTGTTTCCATATATTTAGAGATATCTAATCCAGAGTTAAATGTGTGTGAGCTGTCAGTGAGTGTGTGAGCTGTCAGTGAGTCAGAGTGTGTGAGTGTGTAAACTGTTACCGGCCGTTAAACAGGCCTTAATTCAGGCATGTGAGGCAGCCACTGTAAATACTTGATGCTACTTGTTAATCTAAACTGACACCCTGGATCATCACACACACACACACACACACACGCACACACACACACACGCACACACACACACACACAGGTATCCACATCGTCCTGCAGACGGATATTAGCTAGATTCCTCTTTTCCAGTAAATGGTCACGTGTTGATTGACAGGAGCAGATTTGCAACCCCCCTTCTCCTATTTTTCTCACTGGGCTCTCAGCCAATCGGGACCCTCGGTTATTTTAGAAGCCAAATGCCTTATGTAGAGCAGGTTCACAGAGATTGGCAGGGGGGAGGACGCGACCCCAGCCCTCACTGGTGGCCGTAATGCTAATGCTAATGAGCGCCCCCCCCCCGCCCCCCCCAGCGTCAACCCCCCGAGAGAGGCTTTCAGTCCTGAAGGCTTCTTCTGGCCTCGGAGCAGCAGCAGCAGCCATGAGGAGCACATCCCGGGATTAAGCACTCTGTGTGGATTTACATCGACCTGTCTTAAGGGGGGGGACTAACCATGTCTTCTCCCCAATCTAAAGCGCGGGTCATCGCCGTGGATCGGCCCCTGGCGGACGCCTCGGTGACCGCCGGAGAGACGGCCACCTTCGAGTGCGAGCTGTCGTACGAGGGCATCGCCGTCGAGTGGTTCCTTGGGGGTACCAAGCTGGAGCCAAGCGACAGAGTGAGTCCACACACACACACACACACACACCTGAGCACACACCCTTCCTGTAGGCCTGCTGTACACCTGCACACACACACCTGAGCACACACCCTTCCTGTAGGCCTGCTGTACACCTGCACACACACACAGTTGAGTTTGTCTGCATATAAGGGCCTGGATTCCTGCGCTGCATTCGATCTGCTTTGGAGCTTTCTGCCCTGTAAGCGTTTCTGGGGTTATTTTTAACGGGGCTCAGGGCAGGTGGCAGGTCTGACACCGACAGCTTTTAAAGTGTTTTTAAATGTTTATTCAATCAGTCAGAGCGTGGCAGTGTGAGCGCGGTCTCTGAGAGGATATCAGGCATAGCGCGGGATTAGTTTGATTATGACTGGATGTAATTTCAGACTGACACATGATCTCTGTGCGCGCTGGGCCGTGTGATTTACTGCAGTCTGTTACATCGAGCTGCTCCGTGCAGAAGGACACTAAAGCCAAGAGGGAGGGAATGTGTGAAGGATCTAATAAGCTGAGCTTTACCCCAAGGTAGAGTGGGTACAATGTGCTCAAGTCCTGTCTGATGAGGCTGTAATGGTGATTCAGCCGAGGTCAGGCGGCTCCTGTTGGTGTGGAAGTTAGCGGGTCACTTTCAGATAAGTGTTCTGAAACGATTAGGTGTTTCATTCTGAAGAACCAGCATGGTGACTCCAAGCTCTCCAACATGAGTCACAGGACTTTTCTATATGTTGTTAAATCTGTAAAACAAACGTTACTGAGCATGAAATCACCTTTCTGTAGAAAGGGTTAGAAAGCACAGACCCTTTGAAGCCCTTCGTTCTGTTGGATAACAGCTGACCGCTGAGCCTCAGATTACCTTTCACATGTTAAGATGTTTCCTTACCACATCTAGATGTTTCCTTACGACATCAAGATGTTTCCTTACCACATCAAGATGTTTCCTTACCACATTAAGATGTTTCCTTACCACATCAAGATGTTTCCTTACCACATCTAGATGTTTCCTTACCACATTACGACATCAAGATGTTTCCTTACCACATCTAGATGTTTCCTTACCACATCTAGATGTTTCCTTACGACATCAAGATGTTTCCTTACGACATCTAGATGTTTCCTTACGACGTCTAGATGTTTCCTTACGACATCAAGATGTTTCCTTACCACATTACGACATTAAGATGTTTCCTTACCACATTACGACATCAAGATGTTTCCTTATGACATCAAGATGTTTCCTTACGACATCAAGGTGTTTCCTTACCACATCAAGATGTTTCCTTACCACATCTAAGATGTTTCCTTACCACATCAAGATGTTTCCTTACCACATCTAAGATGTTTCCTTACGACATCAAGATGTTTCCTTACCACATCTAGATGTTTCCTTACCACATCTAGATGTTTCCTTACGACATCTAGATTTCCTTACGAAGATGTTTCCTTACGACATCAAGATGTTTCCTTACCACATCTAGATGTTTCCTTACCACATCTAGATGTTTCCTTACGACATCAAGATGTTTCCTTACGACATCAAGATGTTTCCTTACGACATCAAGACATCAAGATGTTTCCTTACCACATCTAGATGTTTCCTTACCACATTACAACATCTAGATGTTTCCTTACCACATTACGACATCAAGATGTTTCCTTACCACATTACAACATCTAGATGTTTCCTTACCACATTACGACATCAAGATGTTTCCTTACCACATCTAGATGTTTCCTTACCACATCTAGATGTTTCCTTACGACATCAAGATGTTTCCTTACCACATCTAGATGTTTCCTTACCACATCTAGATGTTTCCTTACGACATCAAGATGTTTCCTTACCACATCTAGATGTTTCCTTACCACATTAGATGTTTCCTTACCACATCTAGATGTTTCCTTACCACATTACGACATCTAGATGTTTCCTTACGACATCTAGATGTTTCCTTATGACATCAAGATGTTTCCTTACGACATCTAGATGTTTCCTTATGACATCAAGGTGTTTCCTTACCACATCTAGATGTTTCCTTATGACATCAAGGTGTTTCCTTACCACATCAAGGTGTTTCCTTACCACATTACCACATCTAGATGTTTCCTTACCACATCTAGATGTTTCCTTACCACATCTAGATGTTTCCTTACGACATCAAGATGTCTCCTTACCACATTACAACATTAAGATGTTTCCTTACGACATCAAGATGTTTCCTTACCACATTACAACATTAAGATGTTTCCTTACGACATCAAGATGTTTCCTTACGACATCTAGATGTTTCCTTACCACATCTAGATGTTTCCTTACCACATCTAGATGTTTCCTTACCACATCTAGATGTTTCCTTACCACATTACGACATTAAGATGTTTCCTTATGACATCTAGATGTTTCCTTACGACATCAAGGTGTTTCCTTACCACATTACGACATCTAGATGTTTCCTTACGACATCTAGGTGTTTCCTTATGACATCAAGATGTTTCCTTATGACATCAAGGTGTTTCCTTACCACATCAAGATGTTTC